TACAAAGTAACAGCGCTGGAGGCACGACCCGACCAGTTAAGGCCAGGAGCGCATCGCCGACAGAAGGGATGAGCCAATCGGTGCTCACCATAGGCGGACCGATTGACCCAACCCAAGGTCCAACTACAATCGACCCAGACTTGCGATTGCAACCCAAAAACCCGTGCCTTGAATCGACGACCCGCGCCTCGGCTTGACTTCGGCTAGCACACGCAGCTGCGCCTGGTTGCACCACGTGTAAGCATCTGGCACAAGATTCTCTTCAGCTCCGACAATAGCTTCTCGACTCCGGCAGATTATTTGGCTCGTAAAACCTATTTCCTACCTGTTCGACACTTTCATCGAGTCTAGTGACAATGGTGTATCTTGATCGAAGGCAGTTAGAGAATTTAATGAGGTGGAAGGCTGAGGCACAACTTGACGAACTACAGTGCAAGAGCTGTATGAGAGAGAGATAGAGGGACGGTGGTAGGGCTGAGCAACGCCGAGCAATAAGTAACTAACCCCAACTTGCTCTTAGATTTCAAATGGTTTGACATGAAATGAGCTACTCTTTCTACCAAACCACAAAATACCTCTTCTTTTATCTACTTTGTGTTGTTTATATCATTCTCCTAATCTTTTGGATAGCGTTACTCGTAACTTGTACTAACAGAATGCTTAATAATTTGCGTTTTACTACCTCATCTTAGTAAGCAAANNNNCATGTCGATGATTGCCTGATAGCTATTATTATATGAGCATTCCATGAACGGCAAGTTGGAGGTCCAACTACCAAGAAAATCCAACATACAAACGCTTTGCATATATTCTAAGATCTTGTTCAAACATTTTGTTTGGTCATCCATCTATGAGTAAAAGGTTGTGCTAAACTTTNACTTAAAACTTCGCAAAAGATGGACATGAAACGAGGATCTCATTCCAATACAATAGAAATAGAATCTGATGTCTCACATTGACTGGGGAGGAGAAAAAAACAACATTTATAAGGGTGTGGAAACCTTTCCCTAGCAGACGCGTTTTAAAGTCTTGAGGGGAAGCCCGAAAGAAAAAGCCCAAAGAGGACAAAATCTGCTAGCAGTAGATCTAGACTGTTACATAGAAATCCATATAATCTAACAACTTAACTTCTACAACTTATCTAAAGGTTGTCTTTTCGATTCATTTAAATACTTANCCAATACAATAGAAATAGAATCTGATGTCTCACATTGGCTGGGGAGGAGAAAAAAACAACATTTATAAGGGTGTGGAAACCTTTCCCTAGCAGACGCGTTTTAAAGTCTTGAGGGGAAGCCTGAAAGGAAAAGCCCAAAGAGGACAAAATCTGCTAGCAGTAGATCTAGACTGTTACATAGAAATCCATATAATCTAACAACTTAACTTCTACAACTTATCTAAAGGTTGTCTTTTCGATTCATTTAAATACTTAAATCATAAGATTAACCATTCAAGGCCTTTAGTCATTACGTTGTACCTGTAGGTTCTAAACTCAATCCAAACTTCTTGAAATCTGAGTGTGCATTGAAGCTAAGTTGAGGCATACACAAAGTTCGAGAGAACGATGCGATACAATTATCGAAGACAAGCTTGAAGAGAGCCATGTAGGACCTCGAGCCAAAACCTCAGAAGTTAGGATCTTAAAATCCTAGTGTGCATTGAAGCTAAGTTGAGGCATACACAAAGTTCGAGAGAACGATGCGACACAATTATCGAAGACAAGCTTGAAGAGATCCATGTAGGACCTCGAGCCAAAACCTCAGAAGTTAGGATCTTGAAATCCTATTGTACATTGAAGCTAAGTTGAGGCATACACAAAGTTCGAGAGAACGATGCGACACAATTATCGAAGACAAGCTTGAAGAGATCCATGTAGGACCTAGAGCCAAAACCTCAAAAGTTAGGATCTTGAAATCTTAGTTTGCATTGAAGCTAAGTTGAGGCATACACAAAGTTCGAGAGAACGATGCGATACAATTATCGAAGACAAGCTTGAAGAGAGCCATGTAGGACCTCGAGCCAAAACCTCAGAAGTTAGGATCTTAAAATCCTAGTGTGCATTGAAGCTAAGTTGAGGCATACACAAAGTTCGAGAGAACGATGCGACACAATTATCGAAGACAAGCTTGAAGAGAGCCATGTAGGACCTCGAGCCAAAACCCTTTCAAATGGTTAGGTTGGAATATAAACTAAAAATCAAATTAAAAAAAACGGAAAGAAAATATTGTTATAGTAAGATATATTAGATCGCTAAATAATCGCATAAAGAACGAAAAAGACGTTTATGCAGTTATGCAGATTTACCTATGGAAACAGATTTACGTGATGAGATGTCGTCTATAGAAGCCGATTTACATGAAGAGAGATGTCGTCAGTTTTTTAAGTAAGGTTTATATTAGATCGCCAAATAATCGATTAAAGAAAGAAAATGGCCTGTACGCAGTTACGCAGATTTACTTGTAGAAAAGAATCGATTAAAAATTGGCCAAGAATATATGTGTACAGAATTATGGAGAGAACAAAAATGACTTCACGTAGTTACATCATGCAGAAGAAGACTAACGTGAAGAGAGATGTCTTCAGTTTGTTACCATAAAATACCGCCAAAGAATTGATTAAAGAACGAAAGTGGCCTATACACAATTACTCAGATTTACATGTAGAAACAGATTTATGTGAAGAAAGATGTCATAGGAGCAAATCAGGTAAGTCGCCTTACTATCGACATGGTTAGATTTGATGTTGTGTCAATACGTTCC